TTAAAATGCATTGATTTAGCTACCTTCGTGCACAGCAGGAGAAAAGACAAAGGAGTTCTAAGATTCTGACATTAGGATGTTAATTTATATGCCATCTGGACTCACAGATGTCAATTGAGCTCTGTTGTCCTTAATGCTCAATTAGTGTAATAGAACTTTAGAGGTTCAAATCCATGTTTCACAAAATATACATTAAAAATGTGAAGACCTGATGTCTCAAGGACTCAGGATGACTACACAGGGGATTTGGGGTTCCGTTCTTATCGCTGGCTCCCTCTTAGCATTACCCTCTAAATGGCTTCATTGTTTAGAATCTGTCTTCCTTTGCACCGACATCACCAGGCCTTATCTGTCCGCTTGGTGAGCAGAAAGGCATGAGGATGTTATTTCTTATAAAGTGCATTTTACTATATTCACAAGGTTGTGCAACCGTCACCAGCACTCTGATTTCAGAACATTTTTATCTCCTACAGAAACCCTGTCCTCATTAGCAGTCACTCTTGGTCCTCAGCTCCTCTCCATTCCCCTGCAACCACTAATCGACTTCCTGTCTCTCTAGAGTTGCCTATTCTGGACATCCCATATAATGGATTCATGCCATATGTGGTCTTTTGTGAATGACTTTTTTCACTCAGCATAATGTTTTCAAGGTTCATCCATGTTGTAGCCTCTGTTAGCGCTTCATTTCTCTTTTGCTGAATAATTAATATTCCATTATATATACACCACAATTTGGTTACCCATTTATCACGTGGTAGACACTTGGTTTGTCTCACTTTTGGCTGTTCTCAATGATACTGCTGTATACATTAACATACAATTTTTGTATGGAAGCCTGATTTTAGTTCTTTCAGGTGTATACCTAGGGGGGTGGCATGGTAATTCTGTTTAACTTTTTGAAGAACTGCCAATTTCTTTTCCACAGTAGCTACCCCATTTTACATTACCACCAGCAAAACTTGAGGTTTCCAATTTATCTGCATCCTTCTAATACTTTTTAGTGCCTGTTTTAGTTTCATGGTAGCCATCCTAGTAAGTGTGAAGTGGTGTCTTGTTGTGGTTTTGATTTCCATTTCCTTAAGGACTAATGATGCTGAGATATTTTCAGGTGTGTATTGGTTATTTGTATGTCTTCATGGGAGACATACAAATCCTTTGTCCATCCTTTGTCCATCCAGATCCTTTGTCCATTTTTAAATTGGGTTGTTTTTTTATTATTGAGTTGGAAGTGTTCTTTACATATTCTAGATACAAATCTCATATTAGATATGTGATTTATAAATATTTCCCCCCATTCTGTGGGCTATATTATCATAGAATGAGTGGAGAAGTATTACTTCCTCTTCTATTTTTTCGAAGTTTGTGAAGGACTAGTATTAGTTCTTTTTTGAATGTTTGGTAGCATTCGTCAATCAAGTCCTCTGAGCCTGAGCTTTTCTTTGTGAGAAGTTTTTAATTAATTACTAATTATCAGATTTATTTTTTGAGTGTGATATTAAGGTAGGACTCCATAACTTAAAAAAAGATAGCAAGTTGTTCTAACACCATTTGCTAAATAATCTACTTGTTCCTACTAATTGTAAATGCCACTTCTTTTTTAAATATATTTTTATTGATTTCAGAGAGGAAGGAAGAAGGAGAGAGATAGAAACATCAATGATGAGAGAGAATCATTGATCGGCTGCCTCCTGCAAAGCCCCCTACTGGGGATTGAGCCCGCAACCCAGGCATGTGCCCTTGACTGGAATCAAACCCGGGACTTTTCAGTCTACAGGCTGATGCTCTATCCACTGAGCCGAACCAGGTAGGGCGTAAATGCCACTTCTTAAGACGATTTCGACTCTTGATTGAAACCTTACTCCTGATGAGACACAAACAGAATCTGCTTGATCAGTGGCTGTAATGTTGATGCCTTGAGAAATTATTTGTCCTGTTGGCATGTGAGGTTGGAAAACAGATTGGACCACAGATGTGTCAGTGTGGTCTGGACAGCACACAGAACCCACCAACGCGCCTACAACATTGTCCCCCAGGCTGGGAGCATGTCCTCGTATGTCTGCTGCTTAAACTCAGCAGAGATCCACACCAGCCCAGAGGCCGCCCCCAGGCTGCTGGCCTTGCTCTTGTGGCTTGGATCCCGCCTTGAGTGACTTCCTGGACTTTGGAATCAGCTTGCCCAGTTAGACCTACCCATCTTCCCTGCACCTCCCTGCATTCTCATTCTTCTCAGACCTTGGACTTGGTCCTTTAACACAAATCGAAGTGTCTACCACTCCCTCCACACTTGGGAACAGTGAGCCCTGGACTCAGCTCTTTTTCAGATCCAGGACACTGACTACAGTAATTAGCACCTCTCTTCCTGCTCCAGTACATGCCTCTGCTTATCTCCAAACCACTCATCCTGACCTCCCTGCCCTGACTCATCCCACGGTTGCTCATGATTCAGCATGAACATGCTCACTCAGTATTGACACCCAGGACATAGGACCCCGTACTTGCTTCTGGACCCCGCTCTCTCCCGAGACTGTTAGATATAATAGACATGCAGAGCCCTGGGAAAAAATGAGGAGGTTGAGAGCAAGTGTGGATGGTGCGGAGAGACCACACAGGGCCCTGTGGAACACCAACACTCCAAGGCCAGAGAGTGGAAGAGCAGCCAGTGTGGACGCTGAGGAAGAGTGGCCAGAGGCAGACCGGGGAGTGCATGGTGCCTGAGAATGCTCCAGGACGGACGCAGCAGCAGTAACACGTCCTACTGAGAGAATTCACCTAAGATGCAGATTGAAAAGTACCCATGGATTTGGCAACACAAAGGCCATTGTGACGGCAGCAAACTTCCGTGTCAATGATCTGGTAACTCGAGGCTGCCCAGTGCCCTCCAGATAAGTGGTCTCCACTCCAGCGTCACTTCTTACCACTTCCACATGCGGACCCCAGGCTCCAGCCGTGCTGAGCCACCCGCACGGACAGATGCCACAGCCTCTTGCGCCTGTGCTGTCCCTTGGCCTGGAGCCCTTTCTGACTCTCAAACTCCTGTATGTCCTTCCTGACCAGCTCAAGTACCATCTCCTCCAGGAAGCAGTCCCTGACCCCCAGGTTGGGTTAGATCAGTGGTCGGCAAACTGCGGCTCGCGAGCCACATGCGGCTCTTTGGCCCCTTGAGTGTGGCTCTTCCACAAAAAACCGACTTCTGCACACGGCCACGAAGTTTCAATCGCACTGTACGTGCGCGCCCACACGTGGTATTTTGTGGAAGAGCCACACTCAAGGGGCCAAAGAGCCGTATGTGGCTCGCGAGCTGCAGTTTGTCGACCACTGGGTTAGGTGATCCTCTCCTCTCTTCCCATTATGTTGTGTGTTGGAATAGGCAAGGTCTTCCCTGACTCGACGCCCCCAAGCCTGTCCTGTTCACCTTCGTTCCCCAGTCCTCTGGCCACTGTGTTCCCAAGTATGCGGGGCAGCAAGTCTTGGTGATGGAAGTTGGGGTGCATCCAGCTTCCCTCTGACCAGATGAGTAAACACTTGCAATCCAAACTGGCTGGCGATGATAGAGTGGCTGCGTCAGCGCCGGGAGCCACAGACGTCTCTTTGCTGTTTGGTTTCAGATAAGTCGGGTTTGCTGAGACCAGGGCCAGGAGCGTAATTCCTGGTAAACCAGTCCTTTCGGGTCATTAGGTTGCAAAATCTCCAGCACTGTCCAGGTCAGAGGCTTTTCACAGCCCTATCTGTGTCTCCCGGACCCTGGCCTCGGTCTCTTTCCCTGCTCTCCCCTCTCCCGTGGCCTTTCCCCCATTTATGCACCCATCTTTCAAGCATCTGATAACATCCAGCTGACTCATATTTGCTTCTGCATTGATTATTCTCTGCTGGATCTCTTCCTTCTCCCTCACTCCCCCACATACCCAGGCCTCCTCCTCTGCTAACGCTTACACTGTGGAAGGTAACTATTAGTTTGGCCTTTCTGGTTGGGTTAACTCCCCAAGGGAAAGGAACATTCTCTACTTTTCTTTTCTTTTCCCTGAGCTAATGCCTTACTAAACTGTACTTGCTAATTGATTTCAGGGAAAATGGATTATATTATTACTGACCAAGCGTTAGAGTGCCAGAACCTTTTCTGAGCCACTCTCAGCTTAGTTCGTAGGCGTGGGAGGGGAATGATGCAAGATTCAGCCTTAAACCCCTTCCAAACGCAGGGCTCAGGCAGCTCCTTACTTGAAAGCAAGGCGCCCCCTGGTGGAAGAATGCCGTCTCCTCAGAAAGGTTGGACACCACCACCTTTAAACCTCTTGTCCCTTTTGGAAAGCCCTTCCTGAGGTTAAAGGGTAGATTAACTCTGGTTTTTAAAACAGGTAATAACATATACTGTTTTACTCCTGATATAAAACTGGGCCCACTCATGTTATAAAATTTAGCAAATACAGCAAACAATAAAAAAAGATAAAAAGTCACCACAATCCCACCTTCCACAGGTAGCCAGCCACTGTTGTTATTCTGGTGTATTTTTGGTCTCCTATGGAAATATGTGAGCTTTGTAAAGAATCTACATACGGCTACCTATGTAATAGAGAAGTTAAAATACAAATGTAACAGGTGAGGCATAGATATACTTGTGCAATAGATGTCTCCCCCTCTTCACAGCAGCCTGGCTAAGTCCCAGGCCTTCAAGTCTTGGAGCCCCTGTTCAGCCCTGCAGCCCACCCTCACCCCACTTTTCAGCACTTCTTGATCCCCTATCCCGCTCTCATGTTGTTTGCTTCAACACATCACCTTTAATCTATTGTACAGTTTTCTTATTTCTTACTAGAAGCCCAGCGCGCAAAATCCGGCGGGCCGCCCACCCACCCGCCGCCCGATCTTGACACCCGAACCTCTCCACACAGAGCTCCAGCCACCTGGCCGAGCCTCCCCCCCCCCCCCCCCCCCCCCCCGGCCTTCTCTGGCCGCTTCAAGCCCTGCCCTCAGTCCCTTGAGTCGCCTTGGGCTGGTCCTGCCTTCTCCGGGCGCCTCCCCGCTTCTGCCCTGTCTCCAGAGCAATGCAGCGGCTCCCGGAGGAGAGCGTGGAAGCCTCCCGCCTGCTGTGCTGTGCTTGTGCTCTTTCCCCTGGCAGGTGGGCTGCTGGGCACTCAGAGTGCGAGTGGTGAGTGGCAAAGGACTGGTGAGGGGGGCGCGACGTGCTCTCACCCCGACCCTCCCAGGCACGGGCCTCCTCCGGCCGCCTCCCCGCTTCCACCCCATCTCTGGGAGCAATGCCCCGCCGCGCACGCACAGGCAGCCTCCTCCTTAGCGGTCGTGACTGTGACACTGTTAGGACCAATTAGCAATTACCTTTTTATATATAGATAGATATTTATTTGTTGTGTGTCTCCCACACCCTCAATGTCAGCTCCAAGAAGGTAGATCTTGTTAGTTCTGTTCAATGATGTTTGTGTCCCAAGTGCCTGGAGCGGTACCAAGCACACAGTATTATAATGCCACACTAACCTAAACATTCTGTGTCTTTGTTATGGGTGGGGCCACAACATTAGTAACAACGAAACAGAATTTCCGGAGGATGAGGCCCAGAAATCAGGATTTTAAAAAGATTCCCAGGTGATTCTAATGTGCAGCCAAGGTTGAGAACCACTGCTCTCGACTCTAGTCTAGAGGCAAAGAGGGCGTCATGGCTCCACCTCCCCACAAGGGGGCACCCTGAAGCAAGAGCCTAGGCTGCATTTACTGACACTTCATGAAGAGAGGAGCCAGGCTTACCAAGAATTGCTTTTTGTAAGAATCTCTTTTCTTCTTTTCAGTGCCCACGAGCAGGTCATGTTGGGACACTGGTGGCGAGCAGGGCTGTCTCTGAATGCCTTCCTCAGGGCAGCGTAGATGCCAGGCATGCCCCGCCCTGTGGCCGAGCCTGCCCCAGGTCACCGGCTGTTCTTAGCCCATCAGGTACCCTCTCCTTCCCTCACTGCAATGCCACTGGCTATCTTTCGCCCCCGCTTTGACCCAGTCCACCACCACCTTCCATCTCCATGGGGGGCAGGCCCTGGGTCTCAGGCCTCCTAGGACAGTCCTCAGGGCTGCGCACAGTTACTGGAAAACAGCTTCAAAGATATAAATAGCAGCAGTAAAGACTGTGGTCAGAGCTGTCAAACCACAGTCAACCCAACTTCTTTCTTCTGAAAACTGACTTCTGAGAAATGGTCTTCACTCCCTGAAGAGCTGGTCTGTCTCCAGCGGGGAAACTCCAGTTCCTTAAAGGTACAGGCCACCTGTGGGGCGATGGCCTCCCTTAATCCGACTTTGCCTGACTTTCCAGCAGGAAACCAATTTCATAGCCAAATTGGGCCTTTTCTGGATGTGCAATTGATGCTTAATATATTTCTTTTAAAACAAAGAAATTGCTTTAGCTGCTTGATTTTTTGGGTGATGGAAAAACATGATTGCAATCATGCTGAAATCCTTTTGTTTCTGTAAAGCTTCGATGAAATGAGCTTTATTTTTTATGCTATTCTCTTGCTCCTTGTTAAAACACCGATTCCAGGATGACCTACCTTGGGAGCACAGATTACAGAGTAATTATTATTTTGGTTCCAAATATAATACAGGCAAAAAAAAAAAAAAAAAGCACAAATGAATTTGCCTGTATTTTGGATAAACCCAGTGTTTTCCTACCAGACCTTTTAGGTCTTTTCCCTGGCTTGCTGCTCTAAGAAGTGCCACCCCCTTACTGTCAAATACTATAATTCTCCACGCTTGTGAAGAGAAAATAGTTGTGTGTGTGGTGGGGTTTTATGTGCTCTTTCATTTCACCAAAATGAGGAAGTAAACCAGGAAAGAAGACAGGAATGTAAGAACAGGAGACCCAATAGGGGAGGAAAGTGAGGGAATCCCGTAAGGATGACACCGCAGGGATGTTGCAGGATGACCGTGCGTACCAGCTGCAGAGGACAGGCCCAGGTGTGAGCAGGTCAGGGACTTTGGGAGGCAGTTCTTCAGGAAGAGGAAATGTATAAAATACCAGACGTGAGTAAGGGTCTTGAGGAGATATTTAAACAATGGGTAGAGAACTCAACGATGGATTACTGAAAAGTAAATAGAAAAACTAATAAACTAATCAGGTGAACAATTAAGAGAGTTATTAATTCAAGGAAACAAATGAGAAGTAATCATAGTTCAAGAAAGGGGAAGTAATCATAGTTTGTTACATGGCTAAGCTCTGGATGGTAACCAAAATCCTAGTAATGTAGAAACTATTATTGGTTTAAGTAGAATTATGATATAACTATACTAGAGGCCCAGTGCACAAAAATTTGTGCACTCGGGGGGGAGAGGGAGTCCCTCAGCCCGGCCTGTGCCCTCTCGCAGTCTGGGACCCCTCGGGAGATAACGACCTGCTGGCTTAGGCCTGCTCCCGGGTGGCAGAGGGCAGGCCCAATCCCTAGGTGCAGCCCCTGGTCGGGCTCAGAGCAGGGCCGATTGGGGAGTTGGGGCGCCGCCCCCTGTCATGCACAGAGCAGGGCAGATCGGGAGGTTGCGATGCCACCCTCAGTCACGCTCAGGGTACGGCCGATTGGGGGGTTGGGGCACCACCCCCTGTCACACTCAAGGCAGGGTCGATAGGGAAGTTGCGGTGCCACCCCCTGTCACACACAGAGCAGGGCCCATCAGGGGGTTGGGGCGCTGCCCCCTGTCACGCACAGAGCAGGGCCCATCAGGGGGGTTGGGGAGCTCCCCCCTGTCACTCACAGAGCAGGGCCGATCAGGGGGTTGAGGAGCTCCTCACTGTCACTCACAGAGCAGGGCCCATCAGGGGGGTTGGGGCACCGCCCCTCATCACACACAGAGCAAGGCGGATCAGGGGGTTGGGGCGCCGCCCTCTATCACCCACAGAGCAGAGCCAATCAGGGGGTTAGGGCGCTGCACCCTGTCACACACAGAGCAGGGCCGATCAGGGGGTTAGGGTGCTGCACCCTGTCACACACAGAGCCACAGGGCGATCAGGGGCTTTGGGCTCTGTCCCCTGTCACGCTGATCCCAGTGCCAGGAGGCCTCTCGGCTCCGCTGATCCCGGTGCCGGTGCCGGGAGGCATATTACCCTTTTACTATATAGAATAGAGGCCTGGTGCACGGGTGGGGGCTGGCTGGTTTGCCCTGAAGGGTGTCCTGGATCAGGGTGGGGGTCCCGCTTGGGTGCCTTGCCAGCCTGGATGAGGGGATGATGGCTGTTTGCAGCTGGTCACACACCCTTTAGGGTGGGAGTCCCGACTGGGGTGCCTGGCCAGTCTGGCTGAGGGGCTGAGGGCCGTTTTCAGGCTGGGGGTGACTGAAGCTCCCAACCGCTCCTTTTTTTCTTTTTTTTTCTTTTTTTTATTCTGGGCCAGCTTTAGCTCTGAGGCCTTGGCTGCTGAAAACAGGTTTCTGGCCTTTGTTTACCGTCTGTATTTGATACAATGTTGCGGTCCAGCTGGCTGAAGCCCAGCTGAGTAAAGCAGGTGTCTGGGGTTTTGTTTAGCTTCTATATTTGTTACATAGTTGCTTAGAGTTGCAGCTGAGAGGCCGGCAAGTCAGGCGGGGAACGTTGGAGTCCTCCGTCACTGAAGCAAGCAAGCCTCATGTTAGTTTCAAGCTGCCTGGCTGCCGGCCGCCATCTTGGCTGACAGTTAATTTGCATATTGCCCTGATTAGCCAATGGGAAGGGTAGCAGTCGTACGCTAATTACCATGTTTCTCTTTTATTAGATAGGAATTGGATGGGGTAGGAGGACAAATTTGAGTGTGGCAAGAGATGTGTGTGTGTGTGTGTGTGTGTGTGTGTGTGTGAAAGAAATCTTCACTTGTCCCATGCGAAGACAATAGATAATTTCCCAAACTGAAAATCAATAAATAGTAATCCAAGCATTTTACTTAAAGATATAGAGGCAAATAGCCAAAGAATCAGTTAAAAGAGCTAAAAGAAGTTGTCTCTGGAATTGGGAAATGGAAGAGACTAGAAACTACTGTTTTTCCCACCAGATCTTATTAAACTATTGGACTCTTTAAATTTCAACTATGTAGAAGTTCAAAAAAAGAAAGTTGACATTTATCTAATTCAAGTGGACATCTGATTTTAAGTATCTTAAATTTAATTGAAATCTTGACCAGGTCAATTAACTTGATTGAGCTCAAATGGAACTGGATTATCCTGAAAGGTTACCTATCAGGTACTCATTGAATGCACTGGTTTTCACCCTGGCTGCACCTTAGAGTCACGTGAGGAACTTCTAGAACCTGCTCAAGCCGTGTCCCACTTGGACCAATGTGATCGAATCCCCAGAGCCTCAGAGGCACCCCTCCTTCTAAAAGTACTTCAGGTGATTCTTATGTGTATCAAGATGGAGAATGACACTCCTGATAACCTGAAGAACATCATTTAAAATGTACTCTATTTTCTTTAAATGTGTTTTAAAATTTATTTCAGAGAGAGAGAGAGAGAGAGAGAGAGAGAGAGAAACATCAATGACGAGAATCATTGATCGGCTGCCCCCTGCATGCCCCCAACTGGGGATCTAGCCTAAAACCTGGCATGTGCCCTAACCGGGAATTGAACTGTGACCTCCTGGTTCATAGGTTGACGCTCAACCACTGAGCCAGGCTACCCTATTTTCTTTTTCTTAATTATATAGAGTTTTATTGGGATGACATTAGTCTACATGAACATATAGGTTACATGTGTGGATTACTAATTTACAAAATCTTCATATAGGACCATGTGCCCACCACCCAAAGTCAAATTACCCTGTTTTCTTTAAATGCCGCTTACAGGATACTTAATCTGTGGCACAGAATCTAATGAAGAGTTTGGCCCCACCTCCAGAAGAAGGAGGGGATGTGGAAGATGTAAGCGGAGGCTGACATGCAGACCCAGCATAGAAGTGGGACTGGACCAGGGCGTCCACACCGTATGGAGATGTCAAGGTCAGTGTCACTGATCCTATGGTCAGGAGAGCAGTGGCCTCCAGGGTCTCTCACAGCAGACGGGTTGCAGGGTGCAGATCCCAGATTTACTTACTTTGGCCTTTCTTTTTACATGTTTAACTACTCCTGAAAGCCAAGTGCCAGGAGATTTCCTCTTCATCAGGTGGTCAGAGTACAAGTTTGCCAGTGACCCTTAAAAACAAAAACACTTACAATCAAGTCTTCAAAACGATTGTTTTTGGCAGAGGCTGAGTGCAGGCTGATGACGGCTTTACAAATCCGCACCTCTCCTTGGGCGGGCAGCCTCTCTCCTACTAGCCTTGCAGAAGGATGACTTCATGCTTCAGCAGGTCTGCATCCTGTGTTTACAGACATTTTATGGACAAGCATAAGGTCAGCAGACACACCTCCCCACTTGACATTCCTCTTAAATCGAATGCAGAAAACAGTTGGAGGCAAGACCGAGCCAGGATATCCAGGGCCATATCAGGAAATCGAAGTCACTGTGATTACAGCCCAAGTCAAGAACAATGGCCTCACTGGGCCCCAACTCTTGGAGGGGACAGTTATGGGGTGCCCCTCTCTGAAGTACAGGATGGAAACTGGCTTGTAAGCTAAACGGAGTCCCCTCCCCACCCCCCTGCAACATAAACTCTCCTGCTTCCCTTGGCTGGCCCTCCCTACGCTGGCCCCCCTTGTGCTGCCCCCCCCCCCCCTCCGGGCTGGCCCTGGGGTCAGGACGGAGAGATAACAGCAGTGTTGCCAGTGCTCTGTGCATGATCATTGCGGAGGTGTTTGCAGGAAGGACTTCAGGTAGTTACAAGAAGAATCAGAGTCCAAGGTAGAAGGCCTGTACCAGGACAGGACTGGGTTAAACACCTACAGGGCAAAAGGGACTCCGGAGAAATGCCAGGAAGGCTGCTGGGAGGCGGTAGAAGGTGGAGGTGATGGTGGTGCCAAGTGCCCCCCCCCTCCCTTCTCCACTTCTTTATCCTCCTTCATTCAACCCTCCCTTCCAGGCTCTGCTTCTTGGAAAACACACGGAGGCCAGGTGAGCCTGGAGTGCTCCAGGAGGAACGCACACCTCTGGCCTCGTGGGAGCGGCTATCGCAACGTGCAGCGGGCGGGGTGGGACACACACGCTTCCCCACGTGGCGGCGGGATCCACGGCCCGCAGACTGGGAAGAGGTTCGCCTTGCGGTTGGAGTACCCGGTGTGAGGGGGGAGCAGCGGGCTATGATGCGCTGAGCTCAGAGAGGCTGCTTTGCAAAGCCTTGGCCTCAGGAGGAGGTTAAAATGCAGCGGTGACGTCAGCAGAGCAGAGGAAGGCACGGTCCGCATCTGGGTGTTCAGCCTGGGCTGCCTCTCCGAAGCGGCCATCGAACGTGGAGAGTTGCAGCCGGTAAGTCATAAGCACGCCCTCAAGAGCGTGTCTAACCAAATAGGGATCAGAGTTTCTTGAGTCAGGGTTTTATACCAACCGCGGTCACCCACATGGCCAATTCCTGTGAATTTCAAGGGATATTAGAAGAGGTAGGGCTGAGAACTGTAAACTGACTCATTTAATTCGCTCCATGAGCAGCACCTGTAACAGCAGCCGAATGGCAGACAAGTGAAGATGAGACCTTGGGGAGAAGGGGGTTAACAGTGTGGTCTGTGCAGGGCAGAGGGAGGACAGCAGCAGCTGAGCTCTGACCTCCTCTAGGAGAGGCACGCTGCCCTCTGCCCGCGGGCTGTGGGATTGGCAAGTCAGGCTGGGTGGCTGTATGGCACTGGGAAAGTCAAGGGGCAGGGTGCTGAGGGCCTCAGTCCTTTCTGTATTGTAAAGGCTCAAGGTGTAGGTTCCTCTCAGCGGTTCTCAACCTGTGGGTCGCGACCCCTTTGACGGTCGAACGACCCTTTCACAGGGGTCGCCTAAGACCATCCTGCATATCAGATATTTACATTACGATTCATAACAGTAGCAACATTACAGTTATGAAGTAGCAACGAACATAATTTTATGGCTGGGTCACAACACGAGGAACTGTATTTAAAGGGCCGGAAGGTTGAGAACCACTGCCTCAGATCATCTCTGGGCAGGTCTCTCCCCTTTCCCTTCGGAACCCCGCGGTTTAAAAGCAGAAGTTGGAACCCTCACATATTGCTGGTGGGAACGCTAAATAGTACAACCTCTGTGGAAAACAGCTTGCGGTTCCTCAAAATGTTAAGCATAGAACTACCATCGGACCCAGTAATTCCAGTCCTAGGACTATACCTAAGAAAACTGAAAATGTACATTCATACAAATGCCTTGTAAAAGAACGTACATGGCAGCATTATTCATCATATCCAAAAAGTGCAAACAGCCCAAAGGTCCATCAGCAGATGAATGGCCAAAGTGTGGTCTAGCCATACGGTGGAGTATGACTCAGCCATAGAAAAGGAATGTAGTACTGACACATGCTACGACATGGATAAACATTGAAACATTAGGCTAAGTGAAAGAAGACAGACACAAAAAGCCACTTACTGTACAATTCCATTTGTATGAAATGTCCAGAAAAGGCAGATTCGTAGAGACAGAAAGCAGATTAGTGGTTGCCAGGGGCTGGGAGCAGGGGAATTGGAGTGACTGCCTCATGGATATGGGGTTTCTTTTTGAGGTGAAGGAAATGTCTGGAATTAGAAAATGGTGATGGTGACACAATATTTTACATATACTAAAAACCACTGACTTATAACTTTAAAATACTTAAAATGGTGAGTTTAATCCAAAAATTGCAAAAAACGGTGGAAGAAAAAACATTAAAAAGATAAGCGTTTTGTTTTGTTTTTTTACAAAGTTGCTATAAAAATAATACCAAGCAAATTTATTTAAGTAATATTTTTAATTTCCAAGAACTTTTACCACAGGAAGATTTTTAGTGGCTGGAGACCTTTCCAAATCTGAGGTATTAATATTTACTTTAAAGTTTTATCCTAGTTTCTTCTTTTTTGCTGCTTCCTTGGGAATATTCTTTCTGCTGAGTTTGTTACCTCTCCCATGTAATTACGGTTTCCTTTCAGTGTTTGGTGACCCTTGGAGATTAGTTCATTGTTACTGATGAGGGTCTCCATCAGTATTTCTTAATTCTGGCTGCTGATTAGAATCACCAGGGAATGCTGTAACCAGCATGTAGACCAACTACATCAGAATGTCAGGGAGGTGAGAGGCCCGGGCATTGGCGCAGAGCTCCCCCAAGTGGAGCTATGGGTGAATGGAGTTGACCGCTACTAATTTCGATGAAACGATGTGCAGGCTCCAGCCAAGTTTGAGCCTGTTTCCTAGTAGGAACTCTTACCTTAGGGCAGTGGTTGGCAAACTGCGGCTCGCGAGCCACATGCGGCTCTTTGGCCCCTTGAGTGTGGCTCTTCCATGAAATACCACGTGCAATTCAAACTTCGTGGCCCATGCGCAGTTTGCCGACCAGGGCCTTAGGGGATTGTGGGGCCCCAAGAAACATTACTGATTGTGATGGCCCAGGAAAGTCTACTTTGTGTGCCTGTGGAGGACCAGGGAGCTCTAGGTAATTGTGGTCACCCAGGATACTCAGCTTTAGTTGATTGTAGGGGACCAGGGAATTCTAAATTAGGCGAGTATAAACCCAGGAAATGCTATCCTATATAATAAAGAGGTAATATACAAATTGACCATCACACAAGATGGCCACCCCCATGTGGCCACAAGATGGCCGGCAGGGGAGGGCAGTTAGGGGTGACCAGGTCAGCAGGGGAGGGCAGTTGGGAGCTACTGGGCCAGCAGGGGAGGGCAGTTGGGGGCTACTGGGCCAACAGGGGAGGGCAGTTGGGGGTGATTGGGCCAGCAGGGGGGCAGTTAGGCGTTGATCAGGCTGGCAGGGGAGTGGTTAGGGGTGATCAGCTGGCAGGCAGAAGTGGTTAGGGGCAGTCAGGCAGGCGAATGGTTGGGAGCCAGCAGTCCTGGATTGTGAGAGGGATGTTTGACATCCCCCGAGGGATCCCAGATTGGAGAGGGTGCAGGCTGGGCTGAGGGACACCCTCCTCCCCCAGTGCATGAATTTTGTGCACCGGGCTTCTAGTTTTAGATAATTGTGGGACCAGAAAACTACACCTTAGGTGACTGTTGGGGTTCAAGACACTCTACCTTAGGAGACTGTGAGGGCCATGAATCTCAACTTAAGTGATTATGGGTTCAGGAATCAACTTGATGTGCGTTTGGGGACCAGGAAACTCTAGCTTAGCTAATTTGGAGACCCATGAAAGTCTACCTTGTGTGCTTGTTTGGGTTTGAGGGACTCTAGCTTAGATGATTGTAGAGTGTATGTGTTGGGAGGGGGAGCACCAGGACACTCTATCTAAGGTTATTGTGACCCCAGAAACCCAACCTTAGATGATTTGTGCCCAGGAAACTTCACTTTAGGTGACTGTGTACCTGGGAAAGTCTACCTTAGGTGATTAGGGGGGGTGGGGAGGAGTATGTAACTCTACCAAAGGTGATTGTGGGCATAGGAAGCTCTATCTTAGGTAACTGGGGTCTTATGAATCATGACCTTATGTGACTGTGGGAGCCCAGGAAACTATTAGGTGATTTGGGGTGTGAAGAATTTCTCACTTACCTAATTGTGGGAAGCCAGGAAACTACCAGTAAGTAATTTTGGTTGTCCAGGAAACTTGACCTAGGTGATTGTGGGGCCAAAATACCCTACCATAGATGATTGTAGGGGATCTGAAAAATCTACCTTAGATGAATATGAGGGTCCAGGAATCCCTGCATTAGGTAATTAAGGGAACCCAGGGAACTTGACTTTAGGTGATTATGGGCCCAGGAATTCTATCTTAGGTTATTGTGGGGTTCAAAGATAGTCTAATTTGGCTATTGGGGGGTGCTTAGGGATTTATTACTCATGTGCCTGCGGGGGCCCAGGAAACTGTAGCTGAGGGAACTGTGCAGACACATGAATCTTGACAGTTTATCATGGGGGGTAGGTGGGAATCTCGATCTGAGGTGATGTGGAGGTCAGGATTGTTTTCCTTAGTTAGGTGGGTCAGGGATCTCAACTTTTGGAGATTGAGAAGCTGGGCTTTGGGTGATTATGGGGACTCTGGAAACTCGAGCTTAGCTGAATATGGGGCTAGGTAAGTCGTCCTTATATGTCTGGGGGAGGGGGGAGGCAGGGACTTTAGCTTAGGTAACTGTGGGGGCCTAGGAAACAATACCTAAGGTGATTGTGGGCTCAGAACACTTGACTTCAGGTGGTTTGGGGCCCAGAAGACTTGACCTTAGGTGTTAGTGGGCCCAGGAAATTTGACCATAGATGAATGTGGAGTCTCCAGAAATAATACCTTAGGTAATTGAGGGCACTGAGGAAACTATCATAGCTGATTGTGGAGGCAGAAGGCACTACTATAGATGATTTTGGGCCCAGAAACTCTTCATTAGGTGATTGGGGGCCCAGGAAACTTAGGCAATTGTTGGGACACAGAAAACTTGACCCTAGGTGACTGTTGTCCTAGGAATCTCTTAGATGATTATGGACCCAAGAAAGTCTACCTAAAATGATTGTGGGCCTGTGCAAGTCTATGTTAGGTGATTGTGAGCCCAGACAAGTCCACCTTAGCTGATCTGGGGGCCTGGGAATGATTACCTTAGGTGATTATGAGGGGCAAGAAACATCTACCATACATGATTGCCAAGGGCCAGGGTATTTGCCCTTAGGTGATTGTGGGGGCCAAGGAAAGTCAACCTTAGATAATTGTGGGCTCGGGAAGCTCTGGTGATTTAGGGAGGCGCAGCAAACTCTACCTCAGGTCATTGTGGGCCCAATAAACTCAACCTTAGGTGATGATGGGAGCCTAGGAACATAAATTCAGGTGATTGTGGGGTCCTGGAAACTCGAATTTAGGTGATAATGGGGGAGGGGGGTCCAGAATTTCTATCTTGATGATTGTGGAGGGACAGTAAACTCAACCATAGTTTATTTTGGTAGCCCAGGATCCTCAACCTCAGGTGACCGTGGGCCCAGGAAACACCTTAGGTGATTGTGTGCCAGGCAAACTTGACCTTAGGTGAATGTGGGGGCCAGGATAGTCTACCTAGGTGATTATAGTGGGCCAGGAAAGTCTACCTTTTTGATTAATTGGGGGTTGGGGGGTGGGTGGAAGGAAACCACCTTAGGTGATTGTAGGGGATTAGGAAACTCTGTCTCTGGTGTTTGTGGGCATCTGCTATCTTTACCTTAATTCAGCAGTTCTCAACCTGTGGGTCGTGACCCCTGAAAATACATCCTGCATATCAGATATTTACATTACGATTCATAACAGTAGCAAAATTATAGTTATGAAGTAGCAACGAAAATAATTTATGGTTGGGGGTCACCACAACATGAGGAACTGTATTAAAGG